CTGATCTGATGATTGTATGACTGATCTGATGATTGTATGACTGATCTGATGATAGTATGACTGATCCCATGATGGTATGACTGATCTGATGATTGTATGACTGATCCAATGATTGTCTGACTGATCCGATGATTGTATGGCTGATCCGATGATAGTATGACTGGTCTGATTATTGTATGCCTGATCTGATGATTGTATGACTGATCTGATGATTGTATGACTGATCTGATGATTGTTTGACTGATCTGATGATTGTATGACTGATTCCATGATGGTATGACTGATCCGATGATTGTTTGACTGATCTGATGATTGTTTGACTGATCCCATGATTGTATGACTGATCTGATGATTGTATGACTGATCCAATGATTGTCTGACTGATCTGATGATTGTATGACTGATCCAATGATTGTCTGACTGATCCGATGATTGTATGACTGATCTGATGATTGTATGACTGATCTGATGATTGTATGACTGATCTGATGATTGTTTGACTGATCTGATGATTGTATGACTGATTCCATGATGGTATGACTGATCCGATGATTGTTTGACTGATCTGATGATTGTTTGACTGATCCCATGATGGTATGACTGATCCAATGATTGTATGACTGATCCGATGATTGTTTGACTTATCTGATGATTGTATGACTGATCTGATGATTGTATGACTGATCCAATGATTGTTTGACTGATCTGATGATTTTATGACTGATCTGATGATTGTATGACTGATCCAATGATTGTTTGACTGATCTGATGATTGTATGACTGATCTGATGATTGTTTGACTGATCTGATGATTGTATGACTGATCTGATGATTGTATGCCTGATCTGATGATTGTATGACTGATCTGATGATTGTATGACTGATCTGATGATTGTATGCCTGATCTGATGATTGTATGCCTGATCTGATGATTGTATGACTGATCCAATGATTGTTTGACTGATCTGATGATTGTATGACTGATCTGATAATAGTATGACTGATCTGATGATTGTTTGACTGTTCTGATGATAGTATGACTGATCTGATGATTGTATGACTGATCTGATGATAGTATGACTGATCTGATGATTGTATGACTGATCTGATGATAGTATGACTGATCTGATGATTGTATGGCTGATCTGATGATAGTATGACTGATCCAATGATTGTTTGACTGATCTGATGGGACACCGCACTGCGAAAACTTTTTTTGTGTGTATAAAAAAACATTCAAGTCTGAATACTGGACCAGTTTTGTGCGTCTGATTCCAGTCCTACAAACACGTTCTTACATAACAATCAATCAGTCATTAGGCTGTTGTGTAAAAACCTCAATATGATCTTTTTTAATAAATAAAAGTTGAAAATGACATAAATAAACTTTAAACTTCCTCTTTAGTGGATGATTCACTTGGGGTTTTATCAGTTTTGTGTCACTAAGTTTTCTGCACACAATAAATAGTTCTGTAAATTTAAGAGAAAAAAAATATTTGCTTGTTTGTTTGTTTTCTGCAGCCTGGTGAGAAGGGCTCCCCTGAGGGAGGAAGAGAGATGGAACGAGAGAGGAACCACGTGTCGTTTGCTCGACACCTCCACACACACCATCACACACACCTGGGCATGAGCTACAGCCTGATGTCTGGACAGTATGACATCTACCAAGGTACAGTTCTGCTGGTCCTAGCTGTGGTTCTGCTGGTCCTGCTGGTCCTGCTGTGGTCCTGCTGGTCCTAGCTGTGGTCCTGCTGGTCCTGCTGTGGTTCTATTGGTCCTTCTGTGGTTCTGCTGGTCCTAGCTGTGGTCCTATTGGTCCTGCTGGTCCTAGCTGTGGTCCTATTGGTCCTGCTGGTCCTAGCTGTGGTCCTATTGGTCCTGCTGGTCCTAGCTGTGGTCCTGCTGGTCCTAGCTTTGTTTCTATTGGTCCTGCTGGTCCTGCTGTGGTTCTATCGGTCTGCTGGTCCTAGCTGTGGTCCTATTGGTCCTGCTGGTCCTGGCTGTGGTCCTGCTGGTCCTAGCTGTGATTCTATTGGTCCTGCTGGTCCTAGTTGTGGTCCTGCTCGTCCTGCTGTGGTTCTATTGGTCCTTCTGTGGTTCTGCTGGTCCTAGCTGTGGTCCTATTGGTCCTGCTGGTCCTAGCTGTGGTCCTGCTGGTCCTAGCTTTGTTTCTATTGGTTCTGCTGGTCCTAGCTGTTGTCCTGCTGGTCCTAGCTTTTTTTTCTATTGGTCCTGCTAGTCCTAGCTGTGGTCCTGCTGGTCCTAGCTTTGGTTCTATTGGTCCTGTTAGTCCTAGCTGTGGTCCTGCTGGTCCTAGCTTTGGTTCTATTGGTCCTGTTAGTCCTAGCTGTGGTCCTGCTGGTCCTGCTGTGGGTTGAACATAACTATAGATTCATTAAATAGACCGGATCAGGAGGTTAATCCATGTTGGTGAGTCTGTGAGCTGAAACATGTAAACCAAAACCTGGTCCCATTGGGAACTGATGCAGATTTTGGATTGGGGTAAAGTTTAGAACCAAGGTGTGAATTGAGTTTAGGTTAGATTTAAGGTCATGTAGGTACTGTGGGGTGGAGGGTATCAGGGTTAGGCTGTAGAAAAGACCTGAAAATGAATGGAAGTTAATGCAGGGTCCCCACGAGGATGGAGAAACCAGAATGAGTGTGTGTTAACCCTTGTTCCTCTGTGTGTTGAAGGGCTGAGCTCCAGGTCTCTGGTCTCCAGTCAGCAGGTATCAGGACACTCCTCCACCGGTGGGCGATCCAGGCTTTAATCTTCCTCTGACTGATGAGTTTCAGTTGTTTCAGTGCAACTGCAGCTGCCATGAGAACCACATGAGAACCACATGAGAGCCCCATCAGAACCACATGAGCACCATATGAGAACCATATGAGAGCCCCATCAGAACCACATGAGAACCACATGAGAACCACATGAGAACCATATGAGAACCACATGAGAACCACATGAGAACCACATGAGAACCACATCAGAACCACATGAGAACCACATGAGAACCACATGAGAATCATATGAGAACCACATCAGAACCACATGAGAACCGTATGAGAACCACATCAGAACCACATGAGAACCACATGAGAACAGAAACCTTTTAGCCCAGAAGGGTTTTGTTTCAGCTCCTGGTAACAGTAAAGATGTTCTGAAGTTTTGGACCTGAGCACCTGTTTTGTGTCTTTGTGTTACCTCTGTTTTGTGTCTTTGTGTTACCTCTGTTTTGTGTCTTTGTGTTACCTCTGTTTGTGTCTTTGTGTTACCTCTGTTTGTGTCTTTGTGTTGCAGACAGTGAAGAGAAGAAATAGGACCTGTGAGCCTCACATCTGTCAGACGGATTGGCCTCGCTCGGAGGCAGACACACTTTTATATGGCGCCCCAGAGGAGTGGGACAGAAACCAGGACCAGGACCAGGAGGAACCATCTGTGGTGCTGAACTTGAAAAAACGCACATTTCTTTAGTGTAATAAGAAAAGAAGACTGAATGTATGGAGAAGAACTGATCGTTTTCTAACCTCCTGTTGGGACAGGAACAGCATCAGGAAGCTAAAAGTCCATAATTCTCCTTATTGTTCTCCATGATTATTGAAGCGCTCCTCCTTCCTTCATAGTGCTGACGCCACATGTGTATTACTAAGCTGTACTTGAGTGTAACCATGTTGATTGTATTGTCTTTATGTGAGAGTAAACCTTCACATCCTCCTCCCCAGTGCCATGCAGGAGCCCAGTGCTGTAAATATTCTGTACAGATTCATGGCAGAGCACTAACCTGCTCCACTGTGTGTTGTTGATCAGCGTCAGCCGTGCAGGGAGCCGAGGGCCAGCAGGGTCCAGCAGGGTCCAGCAGAGTCCAGCAGGGACGACCAGCAGGGACGACCAGCAGGGACGTCCAGCAGGGACGACCAGCAGGGACGTCCAGCAGGGACGACGTCCAGCAGGGACGATGTCCAGCAGGGACGACCAGCAGGGACGACCAGCAGGGACGTCCAGCAGGGACGACCAGCAGGGACGTCCAGCAGGGACGACGTCCAGCAGGGTCCAGCATGGTCCAGCAGGGTCCAGCAGGGACGACGTCCAGCAGGGACGACCAGCAGGGACGATGTCCAGCAGGGACGACGTCCAGCAGGGACGACGTCCAGCAGGGTCCAGCATGGTCCAGCAGGGTCCAGCAGGGACGACGTCCAGCAGGGACGACCAGCAGGGACGATGTCCAGCAGGGACGACGTCCAGCAGGGACGACGTCCAGCAGGGTCCAGCATGGTCCAGCAGGGTCCAGCAGGGACGACGTCCAGCAGGGACGACCAGCAGGGACGATGTCCAGCAGGGACGACGTCCAGCAGGGACGACGTCCAGCAGGGTCCAGCATGGTCCAGCAGGGTCCAGCAGGGACGACGTCCAGCAGGGACGACCAGCAGGGACGATGTCCAGCAGGGACGACGTCCAGCAGGGACGACGTCCAGCAGGGTCCAGCATGGTCCAGCAGGGTCCAGCAGGGACGACGTCCAGCAGGGACGACCAGCAGGGACGATGTCCAGCAGGGACGACGTCCAGCAGGGACGACGTCCAGCAGGGTCCAGCATGGTCCAGCAGGGTCCAGCAGGGACGACCA